CTTGACCTCATGGTGATCCTCCTGTCTCAGCCTCTCCATTGCCAAGATTATATGCATATGCCACCATGCCTGGCAAAAAAAAAGTGACTTTCTAAGCCTGCTGGTGTGGCTTCTCCATTAACATCCCAGACCCCTTGGGTCTGGCTGGAAGGAGGGCTTAGCCTGGGCCCAAGAGTTGCCAAAAAGGCTGATCCAGGCCCTGGGCCTGTGGATCAAGGACAGGCAAGTACTTCAGCACCTCATGGTGTGCACATCTGTATGTGTGTATGTCTATCTATATGTGAATGTATTCCTAGGAAAGTATGCTTGAGTACAAGACAGCTCTCTGTGCACATGAGGACACCTGAGTGTGCATACACATGAAACCTACCACAGTGCGTATGTGTGCATGTGTGTCCACGCAAATGTACAGGCACCTGTTAACATCTGTACACATGTGCATGTACATGTGAGTGAATATGCGGCTGCCTGGCTACCTGTTCCCCTGCCCACCCCAGGACTCACAGGTTCTGCTGCCAGTCCTGGTAGGATTCTGCTCCACAACACTGCAGTCCCAGCTGGACTTGGTCAAGGAGGAAGTGCAGGTCTGGGTCATCCTGGTAGTGAGTGATGGCCACTTGCAAGGTGTGCTCAAGGCTGTCCTGTAGGGGACCCCAGAGGGCTACCACCAGGGTCCCTGCCAGAGCCTCAAGCACCAGGAGGCCAAGGATGGCCCCACAAAAGCAGCGCAGGAGGCTGCTGCTTTCACACAGGGCTCCCAGGCAGCCGGCTAGACTCACGAGGCTGACCACCAGCCCGCCAAGCACCAGCCCCAGCATGGGATCTGGGGGCAGGGTTCCCCCCAAGCCACTTCCCAGAGAGCCCTTAACAGCCAGGCCCCAGAGCCCCACAGCCAGGGCAAGCAGGCCCAGCAGGGAGAAGAGGAAGTTGGAGAGGAAGGTCAGACACTTGATACAGCTACTCCCCATGGGGAGAGAGGCAGCCGGATCTCTGCTCCAGGCCTGGTGCTTGGCCCCAGGAGCACAACAGCAGTGGCTCCAGGCCCCCATCTTGTTTCCCTGGGGTGCTGGATCTAAGTGGCTTGATGTGGCTGGACTGTCCATGGAGAGGGGCAGCTCCCGGCCTACAGCATCCTGCAAAGGGAAAGAGAATCAGAGACTTCACCAGAGAGATCCTAGTCATTCAGACCCTGTAACAATCAGGACAATCAGCAAAAGAGCTCCCCAGCAGTGGTCAGGAGGTCTAGCTCAGGGTTAGTCTGCTGCCTGCAGATGTGGCTGTGGGGGCAACCACACCCTGCAAGGTCTGTGGTAAAACTGAGAAGGCAGTGGTTGATAAATGCTCCTCTCCTCTCTTTTTTTTTTTTTTGGTTTTTCTCCGGTACCGGGAACCAAACTCACGACCTTGCACTTGCCAGGCAGGCGCTTTGCCGCTGAGCTAAATCCCCAGCCCCTCCTCTCCTCTCTTCTATCCCTGAGCTACAGAAGGGCCCACTCTGGTCTTGCCTTCCTGCAGTGCAGGAATGTGTAGTCAGGACACTTTCTCTGCATCCCAAACGAGTCTGCTAGGGTCAGTCTATAAACACCGTGCAGTGGAGTGACTATGTGTAGTTATAGCGGGGCTCCGCACCTAGGCGGGGCAGTATGGCTGCCTCCCCTCTGAAACCAACCTTGAAGTTCTAGGACCTGCTCAGCCCCCTCCGCTAGCCAAGCCCCGATGAGAGCAGACACCAAGCTGGGCCCTGCAGTAGATGTTGCAGGAAGGGACTGGAGGGTGCCTCAGGAGACCAGAAAGGCCGTCTGGAGGAGGCAGGTGTGAGGAGGAGGGATACAGGGAGAGGGGTCAGCCCCATAGGTACCCAATTCTACTCAAAACAAAGTTTGACATGGGGGAGAGTTCAGAAGTTGGGGCAAAGCATAGGCAAGGCTCTCCTTTCCACTTTGAAGATGCTGTCCCTCCATCAGGGCTCTCTGACTTTGCAATGAGGCTTCTTTACTCCAAATTTGGAGCAGAGGCCAGGAGGTGTACTTATCAGCCCCTGGCCCAAACAAGTCACTACAAGTGAACGGACAGGCTGTCAAGCCCCGTTGGCCAGAGAGGGACTGTCAGAGGCCATGGATATCCATAGTCTTTACCCTCTCTTACATCCTGAGCCAGAGTTACTGCCCTAGAGCCACAGGAGACTCAGAGGCCAGGACCAGGGCACCAGGATGGGGTGTGGCTCAGTGTGGCAGGCTTGTTTGAGACCCTGGGTTCAATCCTGAGTCTTAACAGCTTGTCCACTTTACCCACACCCACCTAGTAGAGAGTCCCAGCGCACCATAACGCATGGGGTGGGACTAGGGTGGGGTGAGAACCCATTGTAGGGCCTCCTCTGGGGCGTCAGGGATGGGGAATATTTCCCAGCTGGTGTGGCCACCCAGCCTGGCTTACCTGGGGAAGCAAGGGGCTGCGTTCCTCTTTCTCCATACTCTCATGGGAAAAGAAACCCTCAGCACAGGGCTAGGACAAATGACTTGTTACTCTCTGGGTGGGGCTACTGGGTCCCTGGACTGCTCTGTGAGCTGTGCAGCTCAGGCTGGGGGAGCTGTGAGTCCTACCCACACTCCAGAGTCACAGTAGGATCATGTGAGCAGTCACATTTTAGGGCTTAAGGCGGGCCCTGCTTGTGGAGATGCAGACGTCTTTCTTCTCCACCCCTCATTTTTGGCCTTGGCTCTGAGAATTTCCTAAGGAATTTCCTTGGGGAGGGGTTACACTGTTCACTTTATGGCTATCATTGTAGGGCCCCAGTGTGGGCCTCAGTCTTGCAGGTTCAGTGCAGCTCCACCAGCACCTGACCAGAGTCAGACCCACATCAGCTGGTTCACAATAACAATCCCAAGAATGCAGGAGCAGCCTGAGTGTCAATTTACTCTCTCAGTTTATTCAGTGCAAGAATGAAATATAGCATCTACCTGCCAGGTTCCATCTTTCCTGATATCTAGGCTTGGGGCTCCCCCATCTTCCCTTCTGAGCTTCTCAGGAGAAGTTCATCTTGATCACTGTGGGTCTTCATTCTGCCAGGACCCAGGCCACATGGCTGACAGGTGGTCAGAAAGTGTGCTGTCAGTGCTGGGTTCCCACCTGCCATCAACTCTCTGACCTTGGACAGATCCCCTCCCCGACCTTGGACAGATCCCCTCCCCAGGCCTCATGTGGGATGAGTGTAAGATACAATATATTTGTCAATAGTTCCTCTAGGGGAAAGGGAGGTTGAGCATATGTATACAATGTAATTTCATGTAATTTACATACAGATTTGCAGTGCTAGGGAGCAAACCTGGAGCTTCACACAAGTTAGGAAATTGCACTACCACTGAACTACTTCCCAGTACTTTTTATTTGAAAATTTTTTATTTTTAATTATTTTTGAGATAAGGTCTCATTATCCAGTTCAGGCTGGGCTTGAACTTACTATGTAGCCCAGGCTGGTCTCGAATTCATGGTGATTCTCCTGCCTTAATCTCCTGAGTGCTGCAATTACAGGCATGCACTATGTCTGGCCTTTATTTTATTTTTTGAAACAGGGTGTCACACTAAGTTGCCCCGGCTGGCCTCAAACTTTTGATCCTCTTGCTTCAGCCTCCTGACCTGCTGGGGTATAGATGTGTGGCACAGTACCCAGCTTCCCTGTGGTAACTTTTATGGCATCCTTAGTGAACTGGTACTCACTCTCTCTCTCTCTCTCTCTCTCTCTCTCT